GCAGGAAGGGGCAAGGGGAGGTCACTTGACCCCCCCCCCTGGATTTAAAAAAAATTACTAGATATGTAAAATTATTCTTTTGTGTTATTGGGAAATCATAAGGTATTTGTATTCCGATTTCATAATTTATTCAAACTTGAGTTACTTGACCCCCCTAATTTTTCCTGCGTACCGCCCTTGGTCTTTGTAAATGAATTTTTAAGATTGTTATCGATCGTAATTACTTCCAATACTTTACTCGCAGTTCATGAAGTATATACACAAAAATTTCAATTGGTGAATCAACGTAACATGTATAATCTTCTTTTTTTTTCCATTGTCCTGATTTATATGTTAAGTCATGCTGAATTTGTAATTTACCTTCATTTTAAGTCTAATAATTTATCATTCACACTAAGCTGAAATAACTAGATAAGATTTACGTGTATATATAACTCATGTTTGTTGTTATGCACAAAGCTACACAATGGTCTATCTGTGCTCTGCCCACCACGGGTATCGAAACCCGGTTTCTAGTATTGTCAGTCCGCAGACATACCGCTGTGCCACTGGGGGCCACATATACTCATAGCGAATTGTCACTTCGTCACTTAAATATATTTTATTTTAATTCACTTAACTCCTTAATTACAATTTTTATTTAGTTGTACTGAGAAATTATTCAAATTTTGGGAGCAAAAAATATCTTTAATTTACTGTCTTAATCAAGTCACGAAACTTATGTCAAGAAACAAATTTAGGAAAAGTTGCGGGATAACGACATACAATTTCAATATCTTACCACTCAGAGTTGTTGCAACGCTAACGCTACGTGCGAGCAGTCATCTCGTGTTATTTTTGTATTTTATTTTATATTCCATTAATATAAAAGTTTTATAACTCAGTGCGGTGTAAGCACCCCAAAACATAAATAAGGTTTGAAAATTACACAGTTCCTTTAATTTTACCCAACATGCATGTGTAGTATTAAATCCAATTGGAGTTCCCGTTAAGTATGAATTTGTGTCACGCCTAGCGGGATAATTTGAAAGCACTGCTTTTTGAAGTCTGCAAGTTTATTGAAACTAATTATACATTTAATAATGGAGCTTTAAAATATACCTAATGACTTCTATGAGTGTGTGCTTAAATCATAGCTCAAAACAACGTGGGAGTCACCCAAACTGTACAATTTTCGACCGGATGTCTAATCTCTTGCGGACATAACAGCTGGTGATGAAAACGCAACTTCCTTAGCCACTGAACCCCCCTTTTGATAATGATACATTACCCACAAATGTTCCGGTTCAAAAGTTAGTAATTAGTACTTTACAAAACTGAGATATTAGAAAAATTTTGGTATGTAACTATAGTGTTCTCTTTCGTCAGTAGTTATGTAGTGAAATACAAATATATACAGAATGGAACTAAAGGCAAACCTAGCATATTCTGTCAGACATGAAAAGTAATTCGTACACGTCAAGAGAAGATCACATAAAATTTGATGTTTCTTAGCCTTAACTCTTGTGACTGTTTATAAGGATATAATGTTCTATTCTTTGAGATTTTAGATCCAATAGTATTTCGTATATATTCGTCAAATTCAATCATCCAAGTGTGATGTTTATAAACTCTATCCATTTTTGTTCATCAAGTAAAAGCACTTGTTACATCAATCTCTATCTTTTATCAAAATAGCTAGAGGTCATGGATGGTCTATATGTAAAAATCATGGTTTGTTTATTTTATTAATCGTTTTTCTTTTCAGCCTATGAAGTCAATTTTAAGCCTTTCGAAAGTAATTGTTAAGTGTGATCCATATGTCAAGTTCGTGGTTTGTTTATACTTCTAATCTATTTTTTGTCCTTTGACCTCTTCACCCTCAAACTATATTTTATAAGCCAAGATAAATCAGTAACTCAAGTTTGATGTTTCCTTTATTCCTAACTATTATTATTTACAAACCCGTATCATCTTATTCCTTGATTCTTTTTTTATATTTCAATAAGACAATCCGCATACCAAGGTCAATGTGCGTAAACTCTCAACCATTATTTTACAATAATAATAAGATCTTATTCTATTTCTTAATTCTAAATTTGTTGTTATAGGTCAAATAGACTCCATGTGGCGAGTTTAATCTTTCAGCTACTGTTTATAATAATAAGCTATCGTTCATACCACATTGTAAAAATCCGAGTCTCGTCTGATCCCCCCGTAGACATCCAATGTCAGGCTTGGTTAGTTACTTGGAAGGGTGATGAGAATGCCAGGTGATAATGGCACTATTAATTTCTCAAATGATAATTCTTTCAGGCCAACAGGCACATTTTTCAGGTTTCGTTGAAAAAAGATGTTTTTACACTTAAAACACGTGTTTCTGATCATTAACTTTGGAACAAACCTAAATGAATTGCCCTAATTTACTTATCAATCTCGTATTGGCTGAATTTTGAACATTTGTAACGATTTTATTGGTTCTCCTTGGATTTTACCCTCTGGAATGAGCCCCCATTTCAAATGAAGCAGTCTCAACTCAAGTTATGTTTAGTGTAACCAATTATAATCTAGAAGACTCAGATTATGTAGTTGAAATGCTTTTGGAAGATGTTCCCACTGCGAGTGATTATGATAGCTCAATAAGTGATACCTAATCTTAAGATTTGTGTTGTTTCGTGATATTTGAATTTTGTCAGAGCTCTACATCAAAGTTATGAAATTTATTTGAAATAAATGTTAACAGAGGAGTAAAGCAAATTGTTTTCTTTAATTTGTTGTAAAAATCCCTTGAAAAACTAATTTTTGCACTGTTTTAAAGCCGTATCTTTGAAAACTTTTTCCAAAGACTCAAATATTTCCCCAAACTGAATTTAAAAAAATAACAATTTTTTGAAAAAAATTGAACACGATTTTTTTCGAAAAAAAAACACAATCGAGACAAATTTTCGGCCCTGAAAAAATTGCAAAAAAACACCTGTGTAAGTATATATCATATGAGTATGTTGATGATCTATTTCAAATGGTGTAGTACATTAATTTCATTTTTTAACAGACATCTGTAGGTAATATCGTACATGAATTGTGTTTGTCCAAATACCTTGTGGGTGTACTTGACAAGTAATTTTGTAATTAGAGCTTTGCAAGTTCTTCTGTGGGTTAAGTCTAGTAAATTAAGTTACCTTCTCGTTAGATCTTAGCAAGTAAAATTTAATTATATCTTGGTTAGAGCTTAGCAAGTAATGTTACGAGTGAGTATAGCTTGGCAAGTAAACTTTTAGTTAGAGCTTAGCAAGTAATCTTATGGATATATTTGAAAAATAATCTTTTGAGATGAGTTTAGAAAGTAATCTTATGGGAAGAGTTTAGAAAGTAACCTCTGAGTTAATAATTTTGTGAATAGAACCAGAAAGTTGATAAATATTTCTGCAGGTTGAGTTTCACAACTTATCTTGTAGTTAGACTTTGGAAAGCAATCTTACAGTTAGACACTGGTAGTTGCAAGTAGCCTTGTGGTTAAACCAGTAGTTTCCAAACTCTTTCATTGACGACACCCTATCCCACTTACCTGGATTTGCGCGACACCCATGCTGCCACATACAATATTTTTTGTACAGTTTTTTTTTATATTCTTAATTATTCTTCGTTTGTTGAAACTCTCGTGACACCCCTAGCAATTTGCCACGACACATGGTTTGGAAACAACTGGATTAGGGCTTAGCAAGTTGTGTTGTAGATAAAGTTTGGCATGTAATATTATGGTTAAACCTCAGCAAGTTGTGTTGTGGGCAGAGTTTGGAAAGTAATATTATTGTTAGACTTTTAAATAGTAATCGTATGTGTTGAAATTGACATATATTCTTGTGGATAAAGCTTAGAAAATATTATTGTAAATAGACCATTACTATCAGTCATTTTCAACTTTTTCATTATTGAAAACAAAATTCCTAAAATAATAAGAACGGTATATATTATCCATTCATTATTTGGTAAATTGTAGACATTTTTAGTGATACTTCCGAATTAGGTATTTAGTCAACTCGCTTTTTACAACATTAATCACAATCCTCAGTTGAAAGATTCCGATATATATATATATATATATACATAGATATATACCTATAATAATTAACATACATACCAATATATCTTGATGTATGATATACATACCGTTATGAAAATCATTACATTAATTACTGTTCATCCTCAGTTAAACTCATGATATACAGAACTAGTCAGCTTCCACGGGAATATCATCCTGAAAATATGTGGTAAGCTATGTTTACGTATTTCTTGATCTTACCAGCGATATCCTTTCATTTTAGTGGATAGCTGCGTAATGATATCAAACTCGTAGTCCACAAACGAACCCAAGTTTCAAAACACACATAACTACCATTTGTAGATAAACTTTGTTATAATGCTTTGAACCTTCATATATAATAACTTTAGTAACTTTAAAAAAGTGACTCAAAGAAAACTGTTTACTAACTTTATTTGTTTGCATGTCGTGTTCGATAATTAAGAAATAAAACAAGTTTATAACTCATAGAATCATCATCTTGTTCGATGAGTTTGGTTAACACTGTTTTAAGATGCTTTTGTTGAATTTTAAGATCCTCACATACCAATTGGATTAATTAAGAAATGGAATATGTTGATAGCCAAAACAATTATTGTCATGTTTGGGAATGGGAGGAATATGGGAAAACACTTTCTTGACTTTTAAGCCGTCAGAGAGCATTGGTTTACTAATGGTGTGTGTGTTTGTATTTATGTTAGAATCTTGAATATATATATATATACACACACAATATCATAACCAGCACTACAGATGGTCTTTTTTCCAAATTAAATGAGTATATTTTTCTCCTACACAAAGAATATTAGTGATTTACACTAAAGTAAAATGTATATTTAAAAAAATTGAAGCTGGTGGATCTTTAAGACGTTTTAGAATATTGGGGTGGTCTTTCAACCCCCACACCCTTTGGCTACGCCCTTGATATATATATATAGCCACAGTACTTGATAAGCTTCAAGGCGATATTTCTCATATAATGTAACTTCCAGTTTTACTCGTACTTTATTAAGTATATAAACTCCACTAAATTGAGTTCACAGTGGTTATTTACCTAATGAAACAAAACAATAAACAACAGCACAACCTGATACAGAAGAGTCGTTCTCGTTATTATTAATATTATTTTCGAATACGAAATAATTCAAGGTTATTATTGAACAACATCGTATTTAGAAGTAGCACACTAATTTTATTCGTTTCCCTTTCTTCTTACATTGGAACACCTTGCGACTTTTTCATCCATTTTATAACTCGACCAAGATCGGCAGGTTCGAGGTTAGGTAGCATGGTGACCTCAAAATTTCTTTTATCAGTGGTCAATTCCTCAATGCTGCCACTTACTTGAGGGAGGTCTGAGATATGAATTTCTCCTGGAATATAGAATGTTTTCTGTAATAAGTACTGGAAGATACAATACACTATTGTCAATCGTATCCTCACGTCATTAAGCACAACTTAATTTTTAAGAGCTGAATCGAATATCCTTTATGCCCTGTTTTATTAATGATTTTGTAATTTTCCTTACTTAAGTTAATAGCCTGTAATCGTCTATATAATGTTATCAAATGTGTTATCCATATGAAAATTGTAAATCTATAAAATAGAAAGTTCTCAGTTGTGGATTAATTTCTCAACAATCTACTTTGCGTCTTAAGATTTACTTGCAGCACGGGTAAAAATATATTATTGAGTGTTTGAACCTCAAACAGTTGTGCTACTAAAAATTTATCGAGTAAAGCAATTGTGATACTTTTAAGAATGTATGATCCTTTAAAGTCAAAATACAATCTGCTCTTTCTTTTTCTTCTTCATGTATTTATTAATATTATCATAACGAATAACCCTCAAATAGTTTCAGCAATATAAAAGTTGCATAATATTTGGTGGGCAACCACTGCTGAAACTAACTAATAAACCTTACTTACCAGAGTTCAGTTTTGACAACAACTCACTGTTACACGTCATTAACACTGAGTCACCTTGTCCTTGTGACAAACTTTGAGGAGGCGATGTTGAGTTAAAGAGCAAAGTTCTTTTTCTGCCCCTACAAGTATTTCCAGTGATTATCGGAGTGCAATCTCCTTTAGCTAAGTCTGCCTTGTGCGGTGGTCGAGCTGCAGTGAGTTTCGTCTGTTTGTTATTATCTTCTTCTTTGTCAAAATCTGTTATTTGAAAAAAAAAAAAAAACAAGTCTGTCTCTGCATGAGCATTCAAAATTTAAACTTCTAATAGACAACATACATTTTTTTCTAGTTAGTTAAATTTGTTTAGTGTTTTAAAAACACATCAGACTGTTGCTTAACTCGGGTTTCCTGTGGCACAAGGGGTTGAGAAAGTTTTCAAATCCACCTGGACAGGTTGGTTGGTTTGAATTTCGCGAAAAGCTACACGAGGGCTATTTGTGCTAGCCGATCCTAATTTAGCAGTGAAAGACTAGAGGGAAGGCAGCTAGTCACCATCATCCACTGCCAACTCTTGGGCTACTCTTTTACGAACGAATAGTGGGATTGACCGTCACATTATGACGCCCCCACGGCTGAAAGGGCGAGCATGTTTGGTGGGACGGGAATTCGAGCCCGCGACCCCCAGATTGCGAGTCAAGCGCCCTAACCACCTGGCCATGCCGGGTCCCCTGTGTTGACTGAAGCTAGGTGTGGGTAAAATGTCTTGCTCAAGGACATAAATAAGCGTGGGTGAGTTTCGATTCTGCATCCTTTTGATTAATACCCCAGAATACAAACCACTAGTCCTCTCGTCACCCTTGTATTATTTAGTCACTGACAAACTTTACTGCGTCAACAAACAGTTAATGAACGGGAATGAATCACTGATTCTGGCTTATCAGTTATTAGTAACTATGACATAACAGTTCGTGTTAAAACAACCTCCACACTGAAATACCAACATGTATACAAATAGGTCTTTATTTCAAGTGTCAACTCAGTAATGACATACATGAGACATCTTAACTTTTCTAAAAACGACCTAAATAGCAATTTTAAAAAATAATGAAAAAACGATTGTTCTGGCATTCCATCCATTCATCTATTTATCTATCTACAGCTAATTATTATGACACTGAAGTATCAGTCATTCATTGACAATTACGTCTATTAATAAAAATTTTAAGATACACAGAAGATACAATTTTTACTAAACTATCATCAGTATCACCAATATGTTTACAAGACCTGTATGGTAAACTCAAAAGAAATCTCCGAATTCCTAGATTTGAAATAGTTTAGAAATTTACATTGATAATTCGAAAAAAAAACCAAACATACCTACCTTGCTGGAAATCATCAGGATATAAACAAAATCTCCCTATAGCTACATTCATAAGGTCACCAGATGTCAAACAGTCATCAATGTAACAAGCGTCAAATACAGCTACACTGTACCGAAGATACATGTCACTCGTAAACACTCTGTTAAAACCAAAATCCACGAAATAATCACATAAGTACAAAAATCAAAATATATTGGCTAATCAGATACAAAATTCAAAACTCACCTGTTTCTATATATATATTTGTGATTACTTAGAAATCTAGAGAATCAATTATAATACATTAAAACATTTTTTTTCGGACATTTTTATTGTCCCTCAGTAGCTCAGCAGTAAGTATAAGGGCTTATAAGATAAAAGTAGGATTTTGATACCCACGAAGGGCAGAGCAGAAAAAGCCCACTGTGTAGCTTTGTGCGTATCAACTAAACATAGAAATAAATCTTTACGATTAGCAACAGACAACTTTTTTATTTTGCTCAGTTTCTGCCATCTGTTGAACAACAGTGATACTTGCGAAACATAATTCCTTACCCAATCATAGTTAAAATTACTTTAATACATAAAAGGAAATAAAAACAGGCTAATTATCCTTTTAAACAGGTCCTATACATACACATACAAAGATGTGGAATATGCCCATTTTTGGTCATTTGAGGGAGGTAAAAAGACTAAATAAACCCACAATTTTAGGGGGTTTTGCATTTACTTAACCGTGTTTCAAACAATTTACATGGAATTTGGTACAAATATACTTTTCTACAGGCAACACCCATTGATAAATAAAAATACTGGACTTGCCTATTTTCAGTAATTATAAGGGTCAAGATGTCGTAAAAAGCATAATTTTATGGTTTTTGACAATTAATCCGCCATATTTCGATCAATTAACATGGGATTTGGTACAAAATACATTTTTACAGGTCCCAAACAGAGACATAGACAATTTGGAGATTTTTGTCTGTTCCTCAATTTTTTAGCGAGGAAAGCACAATTTAAGGTTTTTCGTGAACTATTCATGTGTATGTCAACCAACTTGCATGGGATTTAGTACAAAGATACCTTCTTGCAGGTCTCAAAAAGTGATAAAGACAGTGCTTTATCTTCCAGTTTTTTGAGTTTAGAGAACTGAATGTTCGACGTCGTCTTTTCATTGTCAACCTGCTTGTTTGTTTGTTTTGAATTTCGCACAAAGCTACATGAAGGCTATCTGCGTTAGCCGTCTCTAATTTGGCAGTGTAAGACTAGAGGGAAGGCAGTAGTCATCACCGCCTACTGCAAGCTCTTGGGCTACTCTTTTACCAACGAATAGTGGGATTGGCCGTCACATTA